GTCCTATTCACTTGTTCCTTGGGAGCAGAGCCCGACACCCCCCTGGCTCCAGGCTCCTGTCAGGAGCTGTGCAGAGCCAGAAGGTCTCCCCTGAGCCTCCTTTGCTCCAGGCTCAGCATCCCCAGCTCCCTCAGCTGCTCCTCCCCACACCTGGACTCTAGACCCTTCCCAGCACCTTCGTTGCCCTTCTCTGGCCACGCTCCAGCCCCTCAAGGTCCTTCTGGGAGGGAAGGACCCAAAACTGAACCTAGAATTCAAGGTTCAGCCTCTCCAGTACCACATCCAGAGGGACGATCCCTGCCCTGGTCCTGCTGGCCACACTAGTGCTGACCCAAGCCAAGATGCTGGTTGCCTTCTGGGCCACCTGGGCCCACCCCAGCTCATCTCCAGCTGTCTGTCAGCCAACACCCCCAGGTCCTTTTCCACTCAGAAACACCCACGTGTCTCTAAACACAAGGCTGTGCTCTCCACCAACGTCCTCCAGCCCATCGATGCACAGCCAGATGCCCTCAGCTCCCCACGTTAACGTTCACTGCTTGGCCTCAACCATCACCCACCCCATGGAGGGAGACCCGGGCAGGGAGTGGCACAGGGACTTACTTGCTGAGAAGGTGGCTTCAGTGTGGACAGGAGGGGTGGAGGGGAGGAAAGGTGGGTACCCCACGAAGAAGGAGCGCAGGGAGCGCTCGGAGAGGAGCGGGGAGCGCTGGGCGGGGATGTTCTCACAGCTGCCCACACTGTTGTGGATCTTCAGGTTCAAGGGCTTGTTCTTCTTCTTGACTCTGGAAGGAAGAAGGAGGAGCCAAAAAAAAAATAAGGTGAGAAAAGCGAAGGGTAAGAAAGAGGGAGCAAAGCACTGAGGGATTGGTGGCACCACTAGAATGGCCACTCACACTGGCACCCGTGAGCTGAGGTGATAATTAGACATGTTTCCTTCCATAATAATTACACCCATTTCCCTCCAAGAACTTTCAATCCCTCCCCATCATCAAAAAAGGCAGTTTTCATTAAGGTACACATTGCATTCCAGAGTTCTTCCTCCCACAAAACCTGGCTGGGTAAGCTCAGCTGGTCCAAAAGCCCCATCACCCCCAATCTTGCCACTCTTATGGCATCCACAAAATCATCTACTGCCCACCAGTCCTCCCAAGGGTTAGGACCTGAGAGATTCCCAGCATGAACTCTCCTGCGTGGACCTCTCTGGTGGTTAAAATGCAAGGTTGTGGTAACATCCGAGTCCTTGAACATCTTCTCACCAGGCCCCAGGCAATGGGGTTGTCTTGTCTAGAAGATTTGCAATGCAGACTCACACCAACATGAGCTGGGCTCCAGGTTTCAAACACTGAGCTGCAGGTTTCAGGCACTACTAAGCCTTGTTGGCTCAGCTGCTCCCACCTTGGCCACGTTGCAATAGCACAAGGTCAAGAGGACCATTGGCTGTCCTGCCCCAAAGGCAGCTTGGGCCTTTTGGGGTTTGGAGGATCCGGGGCAGAGAACCCTGTGTGAGCACAGAGGAGTTGTGAAGGACCCTCCTGCCCTCCCAGCAGGGCAGCTCACTGATGGTTGGAGATGGTTTCCTCACAGGTGACACAGTCAAGCATCAATGCACAACTGAATCACAGCCTTTAATTCCACCTGCTGCCTTCAGTTCCTGCATAAATTGTTAGAATTAGGCAAAAAAAAAAAAAGAGGGGGAGGCAAGAGAATCGTGGCAGCTCCGCAACAGCAGCGGCTGAGCCCACCCTGCTGCATCCCAGGAGCAAAACCCAGAACTTCTGGCCCCAAAACCAAACCTGAGCTGGGCAACACTGGGCAGTGCCCATGCAACACTGGGAGCCCTGCTGCAGTGGAACTCAGGAGAGGATAAACCCACAGACTGCTCACCTTCCAGACTTCCCCTGTGTCATAGAATCATCGACTCCTAGCATGCTTTGGGTGGGAAGGGACCTTCCAAGGTCACCCACTCCAACCCCCCTGCAGGGAGCAGGGACATCCTCAACTAGAGCAGGTTGCTCAGAGCCCCATCCAGCCTCACCTGGAATGGTTCCAGGGATGGGGCAGCGACCACCTCTCTGGGCAGCCTGGGCCAGGGGCTCACCACCCTCAGCAGCAAAAATCTCTTCCTTCTCTCCAGTCTAAATCTCCCTCTTTGAGTTTCAAACCATTCCTCCTCGTCCTGCCCCAACAGGCCCTGCTCAAAAGTCTGTCCCCAGCTTCCTGACAGGTCCCTTGAAGTATCTCCCACCACGGCAGGTCCCAGCAGCACCAGGGGGCATCTGGCTGTGCCAGTGGGTAGGAAATGACCATGCTGTGCTTGCCAGCCCACTTCAGCAGAAGAAAATTAAACTGCCCTCTAATAAGCTAATTGTTTCCTCACACAGGAAAAGCTGCTGCTGGCCGTGGTGACCTCTTTGGGTGCGCTGGGCTAGAGGATGGGGCTGGTGGTTGCCTCCAGCCAGGACCAACAGCATAAGTCTCCTGGCTTAGAGCCCACAGGGGTCCAAGGTACTGGCAGCCCCATGGCCAGTGTTTGCCCTGCCAGGGGATTCTGAGCTGCCCGTGACCCTAAACCTCAAGACCATCAAGCAAATCTGCAAAGCACCAGGGCTTTGAGGAAGAAACTTGGTGGCCTCTAGGGCTGGTCCAACCCATCCACGGTGACCACCTGGTGCCAACCCAGTGACAGAACCATGGCACCTCCACCTGTAGCCCCCAGGTGCCCACAGCCATGGCCCCAGCTCCCCTCAACCTCAGCCCCAGCACTCAGCCCAACGTGCTTCCTTGCCACGCTGTCATTAGCCACTAATCTCATTCTTTTTTCCACCCATAAATCAGTTCCAGACCAAATATTTACGACGAGCATCATTTCCTCGCCAAGCAGGGCTGGTGACAGCTCTCATTATGAGGAAGGATGAGTGATTTTGGACAGAGAGATTTTTCTCTCTCCCTGTTTCTGCAGGAAAATAAATAAATAAGGAAATCCAACACAAACATCACGATGCAACTGGGTGACTGGCAAGGGTTGGCCACCTGCCTCCCCGTGGCCTGGACCCCTTTCCCTGTCCCAGGGGAGAAATAGCAGGGACCAAACCCTGGAGAGGAGCCCAGAGCTGCAACAGGAGCATCCTCCCCCATGACAAGCACCCCAACATTGGGGACAGCGAGGTCCCAGCTGTTTGGGACTGCCCAAGGTGTCTCTGAGGTGCTGGGGGACCAGTTTGGGGACTGGGAGCAAACCTGCAGGGCCAGGACAAGCCCATGGCTGGGTTGTAGAGGACACGGTTGTCTCCTTGCTGGCTCCCCTCTGGTTTTGTCCCCACCCAGCAGCAGGTGTCCCAGCACCATGCATGGTTGGGTGGTGCACCCAGGAGGTGAAACCCAACCCTGTCCTCCAGAAAAGGCATCATGGAGGAAGGTAGAAACAGCAAAGAATCCAAAAGCTGGAGGAGACCAAGCCCTGCCAGCAGCAGAGGGCACATACAACAAGCTGCAAAGGGTACCTGAAGAGGTGATGCAGCTCCTCTGCTTCTCTGTAAGCTCCTCTCAGCCACCCCAAAGCAGCTCCAAGGCCGCAATCATTAATTTGGGGACAAGGCACTTGGGGTGCTAGTGGGGCACAAAGCAAACCCCTCCCTCCCATGCAAAACATTTGTGGAAAAAATAGGATCAAAAAAGGGTGCTGCATGGGCTTTGGAGCAGGGGTGCAGGATGAGGCTGGCCATGGACACCACATAAGGGACTTGCTGCCATGGGGAGGGTCCAGTCTGCTCCTCACCAGCCTCCTACATCCCCCTGCTTTCATTGCAGAGCGGAACTGGGATGGTTCCCCTTGGCCTTACACCACGGTACTCCCCCATACCAGCATGGCAATCACCATCCTGGTGGGGGTCATCTCCTCACCCATCCAGGCGTCCTCCCTGAGGGCTTTACAGAGGACTTCAGGAGAGGCATTTTGGGGAATTCTACTTCACAGAATCATTTAGGTTAGAAAATATCCTTAAAGGCATGCTCCAGCACCATCCATGCTCATCCCAGCCCATAGAAAGATCACCAGGGGAGGGGTGATGTGCCACAGCCCCCCCCTCCCCGTAACCTACCAGCTGGACACCACCAGCCTCAGCTGACAATATCCAGGAGTGATTTCACCCATCTTAGGCCAATATTGCCATCTTCCCTCATTGACTCAAGCCAGCATCACACAAGGCAGGGAAAAATCATTTGCTGGGAATTCATCGTGGGCCTCCCAGCCCCAAACCCCCCAGCACAGCCCCAAATCCCAAGAACCCACACTCTGGGGGCAGGAGGATCCCCCTCCTCCAGGCATCACCCCTTACCATGCTCCCAAACCTGGCAAGGGCACCAGAGATGAAAAAGGAGATATTTTTCTAGAAAACCAAGGAAGAAAATCAGCTCAATCCATTTTTTCCATAGGGATAAAGCCCCAGGACAGCAGCAGACCCCCCTGCTAGAAGTGGGGGCCAGGCTGGATCTTGTTGCTGGGGATCTCAGCCAGACAAGCCCCAGTCAGACCAGGAAGAACCAGCACCAGATTCAAGCTGGGCTCAATTCTGTGCTCGGGGAGGGTTGGCTGCACTCATCCCCTCATTAAGCACCATTTCAGACCTCTCCAGAAGCTGGCAAGTTCTCTGCTGTTTGGTGGGGGGGTGGAAAAGGCTCCCCCTAAAACACCCCAGTGATCACACAGAGACACTGGTGGAGGAGCAAACATGGCAGAAGGGGAAGCTCAGCCCAGCTCTGCAAAGCCATGAGACTGCCAAAGGGGCCATTTCAGATGGTGGTGACACCTCCCAGCCCCCAGGAAGGACCATTTTCCTCCAGTCACAGCTGGACAACCACCAAAATGAGACTCCAGCCCATGCTAGGGGAGGCTGCAGAGTGCTGGGGATAGGAGTGGGGAGCTAGTTACACACCTAGTCATTTTATTTTGGCTTTAAAGGGGTTTGTTTGGAGTGGAGAGGACCATGCGCAGTCCATCTCTAAGCTTGAAGCCCCCCAAAATCTGGAAGACACCCTTGGGTGACTATGGCAAGCCCTAGGGATGGCAGGAGAAGTGCCACCACATGAATAAAGGCTCATTTCCCCACCAGATTCACAGCAGATCCCCACATCTAAACCTCCCCACCCTATTTTGCCACTCCAGGAGCCCCAGGTCTCCTCCCCGTGCTCACCCCAGACTCATCCCTGCTGCAGGATGCTGCAAAGCTGGGCACCCTCGGGGGTCTGCAGGCACCAAGCCCCCCTCGCCTGGCTCCCCACCGGCAAGGCAGGGCTGGACCCTGCACCACACAGCCCTCACCTCCCCAAACCCTTCCCAAGGTCCTCCCACGTTCAGGTTGCTCCTGGACCTACAGACACTCCCCGGCGTCCCCCGTCAGCCTCCTCCACTCCCTTACCTCTCACCATTCCCTGCCCCTCTTCATGGCTCAAAAAACCTCTCATTTGGATCCTTGCCTTCCCCATGCATCGCTCAGTGGGGTCACCACACACAGCACCCCCCACCCCACGCTCCCCAGAATCAGTCTGCAGGAGCATCAGAGCTCTTTTCTGAGGTGGATGCTCAGGGAAGGTGGTGTTGATCTGTGTGGAGTCATTCCCTGAGAGGTGCCAGCTATTAGGGGCCTAATGTCATGCAAGAACTTGCTAAATATATGATGATGGCTTTCAAATTAAAATAATAATAATAAAAAGCACAGTGAGTTTGAAGCGTTTCATGCAAATCCCTTTTGGTGTCAATCCAGCCTGAATGGCTCAGCCCCGCCCG